AGGGTGCAGGCAGCCGCGCTGCCGGCCCGGGCCCGCCGCTCCCCCCGGCCGCTGCGGGAGAGGCTCCGCCAGCCGCCTTCCTGCCGGCGGGCGCCGGGGCACTGGCCCTGATGGCCACGGCACGCCCAGGGCAACCAGGGGCACAGACCCGCGTCAGAAACCACATCTGGGGGTCATGTGCTGCACCCGCCATGGCAGCCCCCCTGCTCTGGCCGAGGAGGAGCTCCCTGCTCAGGGGCTCCCCACTCCTCCGTGGGTGCGGATGGAAGGGCAAGTGGGAGCCGAGTACTCGCAGCCCACGATGCGCTGGGGGACAGCTCACGGTCAGGCCTGCTGCTGGGGGACGCCAGCGCCCACAGTACCCCCTCCCGCATCCAGAGCCCAGAAAGCGAATACTCAAAAGCACGATCTGGCTCCTGCCTTCCTCCCAGAGGTAAAAAATCTGGCTCGCCTGTCCGCTCGGTGGCCAGTGGCTATTACACCTATGGGTGGAGCGCTGACGGCTGCTACCAAAGCCCTCAGGGATTTTAAGGCCAGAGACCTCATGACCACCTCCGAAATCCTCTGTGTGTACAAGCCCACCAAGTCTAGGCATGCATATCATTTGGCACTGACAGCCTTGATGCTTAACAACTTGTCTTAAAAACGGCCAAAGAAAGCTCAAGTCCCTATCCCTCTTCGCTTTACACTATGAGCTTTGCCTGTAATAAAGCTACACGGAAGAAAACTAAAAGTCACGTGTTCCTTTGGAACACAGTGGCATATCCGTGTAGCAGGAGTCATGACTTAATTCTCCCCAACAATGAGTTTCCGTGAACTAGCAGCCCAGCAGAAAGCAATCACAGAAAGTTTCATTATGGCTTTCAGTTGATTATCCAAATTATAGCTGAGAGCAGAGGGCAGGCTTTTTATTATCATCATTGCTGTACAATTAGAAAATGCTGATGAAGCTCCACAAGAGCAGAAATTCTCTTTGCTGGTATTTTTCATTTTTAAAAGCGCTCCCTTGGGCAGTATCTTGGTTTGATTCCACACACAATGGGGAACAGGTAGGTGGGAAGGGAGAAGGTAAGAAGGGGAAAATGGGGCAGCTCTTCATTTCAGTTAATCTATCAAGTCTTGTAGCCTGGTCCAGGTTTTGCCACTCCTCCAGATGTATCTAATTCTTAGAGCCTGGCTGTAAATAATGCTGTATTTGCTACACTGGGGACACATAAAATCCAATTAAGAGCCAGGTAGACATCTGTTGGCTTGCTCTGTGCTTCTGTTTCCTATGAATACACAGCAGAGCAACCAGAACAGGATTAAATATGGTGTAAGTGCAAGTACACTTGGTAGGCTTGTTATTCATCTCTACAGTACTGTATAAGAATACAGTGCTTTATGTGCATCCAGCACTATTAGCGACAGAAGCTGTGGCTGCACAAAACCTACTGTGCCAAACCCTGGAGACAAAAGAGAAAGTGTTTCCCACCCCTGAGAACTTGCTGTTGTTGTTACAAAAAATCTACAAATTATTAGGAATTCACTTTACCTTTAATCCATGTGCAGAGGTGTTCCTGAAGCTCCACTTGGGAGTCCAGCTAGTCCCTGCTTGTGGGTCCGTCCCATAGGATACGGGACACGGGCTGCCAATATGTGTCCTCATGGACATATCTTCCACCCATTGAGGCATTTTCAGCTGGGATGCAGCAGCTCCTGGTAGAAGCAGAAAGTAAAAAGGTGGTAAATATTTCTGTATTTGGTTCTTTCACTGCTGTATTGTCAGCCTACACTGTTTACCTGGATAAACTGCCTTTGTGAAGGATACTGTGACTTTTAAAAGACTTTAGAAAAGGACTAAGTGAGCTTCCTTTGTCAAGACTAGCTATTGCCCCTGCCCTTGTTAGAGAACTCAGCAGACTTTTCCAAAGAGCTTTTCAACCCAGGCTCTGGGCAGGGACAATGCCGGGGAGCAATGATCTCGCTCTTGGCTTTGCCTGTACCAAAGCAAGGCAGGAACCTCCTGCCCCTCTTGTTGTAGGACCAGCACGCTGTCCCTGGCCCTCGACCCTTCTTGCTAGGAGCAGCAAATCCTGGTTTTGTCTGCACTGCTGACGAGTCTCCAGCTCCCAGGAATGGAGCAGTGGGGGCCCAGCACAGGTGACTACGGGCTCCCGGTGCTGGTGGGCAGCCTGCCAGTCACCCCAGCTGGAGGCTGTGCTACCTCAGGCGCTGCTCGAATTAGCAGTGACCCCTGATAACCAACTGCTTGAGCGACGGGTTGCTGAGGACCGCAGGGTGGTTTGCAGCAGCACAAGACTGGCAAGGCTGTGCTTTACGGCCTGTGGTGGGTGCAGGGACTGACAGCTGCCATGTTTGGCATCACGATGCAGCCCGCAGCCAGCTCCAGCACAGCAGACCCACCGTGTGCTGGTACAAAAGGAGATCGATGTTTCCCCTACACAAAGGACATGATTGCATGCTTCCACCCATGTCAAGCGTTTGTGTTCCCACCTGAGAGTCAAAAGGCTGTGGGCTGCCAGCACTGCAAACCCTGGCACCAAGACTGACCTTGCATAACTGGACCTGGAGAGGGCTCCTAAATAAGAGATCAAGATGTTTGCTGCCCCACAGGCAGGAGGGACCTGGCAGGCAGGGAGACAGGGCAGCTCTCAGCCATTTGTGAGCAGGCAGAACAGAATGAGAATTACTGCTGGCATCTGCAGGGGGACACTGGCACCTGAATCCTACCAAAGTGCAACAGCAGCAGGGGCAAGCATGTGCTTTTATAAAGCTGTGGGCTGGGACAGGGATTCAGATTTAAATCACTTGAATGCTTTTCACCATGAATGCCTTGCTGAAACTCCCTTGAAATTCCTAATCTACATCAATACTGGGGTTTTTTATATATACCTGTACAATTATACACCTTAACATATTGCAGGAAAACAAAACCATACCAAACTCTAGTCATATTCAAGCTACATGAAACTAGACAACTTCCATGTGAATTAATGCAAAACTTGAGTTCTAACAGTGACACAGACCTGACACAAGTGCTTGCAGTTTGTAAAATGCTACCAGAAGTTCAGATAAGTAAGACTAAAGTAGAATCAGGAAGAGTGGCTGCATTTGAAACTCATCTTGCTGGACTCATCAATTAGTACTTAACAATATTTGTACACATAAGTGCACATAAAAGGTACATAATTACTTTCTGTTGGCCTCCCTGGGGACTGGGACCCCTTTCCGAGAGGCACAGTTGGTACGCAGAAGGGGTGTTCCTGCCCTCAGGTGCCACCACCAGAGCATGCAGACAGCAGAGGCAGAACCAGAGCCTTGTCCCAAAGCAAAGGTGCAGGAAGGTCGCTGGGGATGAGGAAAGGTCCCTGCCATGGCACAGCCTGGCCACCAGCGCCACAGCCACGGCTGATCTTCAGATCTCCTTGCTGCGATTCACACGACGCTGAGATAAGGAAGAAGCAGTGAACTTTACATTTGATTTTCCTGTGGGGCATATTGCAGCCTGAAACTTTTCAGATACGTAGTTTCTGAAACACATCACCTTGTGCTTTTTTCTTTTTTCTTTTTTCTGTTTTTTTTTCTTACATGGGTCCTTGAAAAGAAAACAGTCCCCATAGTGAAGTTGACATGATAAATTAGTATGGCCCTGGCAAAGCCCTCACTCTTCATTGGGCAAATACTTGTTTATGGACTTTCAAATTGTGGCTTATGTAACAACAGGGTGAGTGACTTTCAAAAAAACCTCTGCCATGTATTGACCTGATAGAGCCTAATGGGTCCTTCAGAGCAATTAGGATTTATTGTGTTAAGGTCTATTGTGTATAGAGACCTTTCTAAAAACGTGTTATTTACCCAGAAGGCAGTAATGACTGTTTAAATACACAGTTAGATTGTTTCTGAAATGCTTGCTGCTCTATATATTGCAAAGAAGTTACTCCAAGTATTTTTCAGAGTTAAATACTTTGCTCCACTGAGATTTCCAAGCAGGGCGATTGTACTGCACATACATTTGTATGTTTATAGCTGTAAGTAAGCGAATTGAGCTCTCAGGAAAGCTGCCAAATGAGCAACCTTGAAGCATGAAATCTGAGGTTTTTGCTTGACCAAGGGGCCAGTGCTCGCCACTCTAGTGGTCTGAGCAGCTCGGGCCATTTCCCAGGTGAGAGAACAGGGCATTTCCTACGAACCACGTGAGTTTTGCCCTGTCAGATCTGAATGTCCAACAAAGGTGACCTCAACAGCCAAGAAGGTGTGGTTTCCACTGTGACACATCTAACCCTCTATGTGCATGTGAGGTGGGGCCATCACCACTTCCCTGTGACCTACTGGGGGCTGGTATGCAAAACTACAAGTGTTGGCTTCTGAACACTGGTGCAGATTGGAGAAGGCTAACCCTTGGCCAGGCTCCTCGGCACGTGTGAAGGAGCATAGCTTCACTGCCTGGCAAAGATCAGCACTGGCTTACACCAGCTTTGACTCCAACCACATGAGTAAAAAAGCCTCAACTCATACATGGGAGCTATCAAAGCCCTCTATGAAATAATAAAAATATAGACTAATTACCACTTGCTTTATCTTCAGAGCAATGCTGGCTTGATCAACACCATCTCTAAATCGATATTTCCTTTTTCTGCCTTGTCCTTTGCTGTGAGAGACCTTCAGGGTGAAACTGCTTAAAGCAGTTCAGCTTTGGCACAATGCTTTCGCTGCCCTGCCTCAGCTCACAACCTTTAGAAACTTGTTTTTATTTGGTTGTTTTACAGCAAAATTAAAATAATATCTGTTACAGCTGCAGTACTTTATTTCCAGGGACGAAAGTACTAAGCAGTTTTCTAATCCAGCAAAGAGAGAGACAGGTTAGAGGAACCTCTGGCTGAAAATGTTGTAGCAAATACTTTGGAGTTAGGATGCAAGTTTGTAATGGCCAATGTGCAAAAT